CTGGGCTGTGATAAATCTTAACCGGTATTGGGACATCTCCACTATACACTTGAGGATCGTCTGGGGTAAGGGTATGGAGTCCCTTGTCCTACCGAGTTACACTCTTGCCATTGAGGCATAGTTGACCAAGGGAAGGGATCTTGTGGTGTGACCAATGCTGTCCCCGCAGTGTGAATGTGGCATCACTGACACAATCGGAAATTCGAGACATCATCCTGGGTATGGAGATCTCGGCACCATCACAGCAGCGGCAGCAGATAGCAGAGATCGAGAAGCAGACCAAGGAACAGTCACAGCTGACAGCAACACAGACTCGTACTGTCAACAAGCATGGTGATGAGATCATTACTTCTACCACCAGCAACTATGAGACGCAGACTTTCTCCTCTAAGACTGAATGGCGGGTTAGGTACTGTAAGGGGAAGAGGTAGGGATGGCAAAGCCTACTGATGCTGCCTGTGGTGCTCGGCCTGAGAAATGCTTACATTCCTCACCATTTGTAGGGCCATCTCTGCTGCCAACCTTCACCTGAGGACCAATCATATCTATGTTTCATCTGATGACATCAAGGAGACTGGTTATACCTATATCCTTCCCAAGAACGTGCTTAAGAAGTTCATCTGCATATCTGACCTGCGGGCCCAAGTGAGTAAGTGTGCTCAACTAAGCCGTAGTGTGTGCCTGGCATTTTACATGCCTAAAACTCACCTGAGACTGCCTGGAACGCAAGGTACATAAGAGTGGCCGAAACAGCAAGGAGGGTTTTGGCTCCTACCAAATATTAAAACGTTATAAAGCTATGGCAGTTAAGAGTTCCAAAAGTTGGGGTGCCTGGGTGGCGCAGTCGGTTGAGCGTCTGACTTCAGCCAGGTCACGATCTCGCGGTCCGTGAGTTCGAGCCCCACGTCAGGCTCTGGGCTGATGGCTCAGAGCCTGGAGCCTGTTTCCGATTCTGTGTCTCCCTCTCTCTCTGCCCCTCCCCCGTTCATGCTCTGTCTCTCTCTGTCCCCCAAAAAATAAATAAACGTTGAAAAAATAAAAAATTCAAAAAAAAAAAGAGTTCCAAAAGTTTTTGGAAGAGAATAGCATATAGTCAGAAAGGGATTCCTGTGTACATAATAAATGTGTATCAGATCTGTAGGATTAAGGATGCTTTGTGGCACTGGAACAGCCAGAATCCTGCCTCACAGCACTTAAAAAATGCAGGTGGAGTAAAGACCTGAATATAAAATACTAAGCTGTAGAGTATTAGAAGAAAATATCTATTATTGTAATGCTGAGATCGCCTTTTTTTTTTTTTTAAAGTTTATTTATTTATTTTGAGAGAGACAAAGACAGCCTGAATTGGGGAGGGGCAGAGAGAGAAAGGATCCCAAGCCCACAGCCCAGAGCCCAACGTGGGGCTCGAACTCAAGAAACCATAAGATCATGACCTGAGCTAAAACTAAGAGTCAGACGCTTAACCAACTGAGCCACCCAGGCAGCCCCAAGATAGCCTTCTTAAGATACAAAACCATGGGGCACCTGGGTGGCTCAAGTTGGTTGAGCATCTAACTTTGGCTCAGGTCATGATCTCATGGTTCATGGGTTCAAGCGCTGTATCAGGCTCTGTGCTGACAGCTTGGCGCCTGGAGCCTGCTTCGGCTTCTGTGTCTCCCTCTATCTCTGTCCCTCCCCTGCTCACTGTCTGTCTCAAAACCAAACATTAAAAATTTTTTAAAAAGGACACAAAACCATAATCAAAATCAATAACTTGTGTGTGACAAAGGGTGCTGCAAAAGACACACTAAAAACAGGAAGAAAATTTTGCATAATTCTAAAATAAGGTGGATTAGAATCTAGAACAGGGAAGTTGATTTTTAAAAGTAATTGTAGGGGCGCATGAGTGGCTCAGTCAGTTGAGCATCCAACTCTTGATTACAGCTCAGGTCGTGATCCCAGGGTTGTGAGATTGAGCCCTGCATGGGGCTCCACACTTAGTATGGAGCTTCTCTCTCTAAAATAAAAATAAAATAAAAAAATAACTAGAAGAATAGGCAAGGAATATGAAGGTAGTTCAGAAATGGAACTACAAATGGCAAATGTCATATGAAAAGATGATTAGGGGGGTGCCTGGGTGGCTCAGTCTTGATTTCAGCTCAGGTCATGATCTCACAGTTTGTGAGTTTGAGCCCCATGTCGGGCTCTGTACTGACAGTGCAGAGCCTGCTTGGGATTTTCTCTCTCTCTCCCTTTCTCTCTGCCTCTTCCCTGCTTATGCTCACACTCCGTTTCTCTCTCAAAAATAAACAAACTACCTTGAAAAGATGTTTAGCCTTACTAGTAATCAGGTAATTCATATTGTATACAATATCCAATTTGTGGCCTCAGGTTGGTGAATTTGAGAAGATTGTTAATAGAAGATTGCGGGTGGGTTTATAGGACACAGGTCCTCTTTGTCGATGGCCGGTAAAATTCAAAATACCACCTAGTGGTGGACTTAAAGATGTATTCATCTTGTGAAAATTCATGAGCTGTGTGTTGGTGTGCTCATTTATTTATGGATTCTGTTTAATCGATTGGGGAGTGTGTGAGCAATGCAGATTCTTGGACCCCACTTGAGATTCTGATGTGATAAGTCCGAGATGAGGGCCGTGTTTAACATTTCAAACAAGCACCCCAGGCTACTCTGATGCAAGAGATTCTGACCACATTTTGAGAAGCTCTTCTTTGTTCTTGGGGAAGGGAATGAAACACAGGGCTGACAGCCCAGAGTCTGGAATGGTACTAAGAATCGTTTTGGTTCTTGACCCCTTTGTTTCCAGATTGCAGGATACCTGTATGGGGTCAGCCCACCGGATAACCCCCAGGTGAAGGAGATCCGCTGCATCGTGATGGTACCGCAGTGGGGCACTCACCAAACCGTGCATCTGCCTGGCCAGCTGCCCCAGCATGAGTACCTCAAGGTCAGTGGGGGGTGTGGGAGAATGGGAGCTTTCTTCTGTGAGAGTGGTGGAAGGAAGGCAGCTATGTTGTTCTCATGGGGTGATTCCCGTCTGCAGATGCGGCTCCAGATAACTTTTCACCTCTCTTTGCCTATAGGAAATGGAACCCTTAGGATGGATCCACACTCAGCCCAATGAGTCCCCCCAGCTGTCACCCCAGGATGTCACCACCCATGCTAAGATCATGGCTGACAACCCATCTTGGGATGGTGAGAAGACGATTATCATCACCTGCAGGTAGACTTGGGCCCCTTTGGGAGGAAATGGGGTGCGGCAGGCATTGCAGCACAGGGCCTAGAACGGTGGCCTGAGCTCTGACTCTGTCTTCATCGCTCTGTCAGCTTCACACCAGGCTCCTGCACACTGACAGCCTATAAGCTGACCCCCAGTGGCTATGAATGGGGTCGCCAGAACACAGACAAGGGCAACAATCCCAAGGGCTATCTACCCTCGCATTATGAAAGGGTCCAGATGCTGCTGTCAGACCGCTTCCTTGGCTTTTTTATGGTCCCTGCCCAGTCCTCATGGAACTACAACTTTATGGGTAAGTTCAGCATGGGGAAGTGGGGCTGGTGTAGGCCATCCCCCTTAGCACTTGGGGCTTGACTCTGGTTTGGAGATGGCCAGGGTCCAGGCTGGGTGAGGCAGGTGCACCTTGTTAACACTAGACCATTCCTTCTACCCCAAGGTGTGCGGCATGATCCCAACATGAAGTATGAGTTGCAGCTGGCAAACCCCAAAGAGTTCTACCACGAGGTGCACAGACCTTCCCACTTCCTCAACTTCGCTCTCCTGCAAGAGGGCGAGGTCTACTCCGCGGATCGAGAGGACCTCTATGCCTAGTTGTATCCTCACCTCCCCCTGCTTCAGACGCTCCACAGGCTGGAGTCTTTTACCCCGAAAGACAAGCTGGTGACATTCAGCAGCTTGGCCCCATTTTCCTGTCTTTGTGCTTCTTGTGTTATTGATCTCTGGTGGCTTGTAGTCCTGAGTAAAGTGTAATAATAAATTTTGTATAAATAGGAGTTTTTGAGTTGTTGTTGTTTTCCTCCTGAGCTCAAATTCTGGATGTAGGGAGGCTGGACTTGTTCATAGCAACGTGCTGGCCTCAACCTTAAAGGGGCATGAGCCTCCTTTTCATGGACTGTGGGACTAAGTAAGTATCCCTTAGATTCCGGGAACTGAGGTGGGGTTGGGCTTTCACACCCTTACTGCTTGACCCCATTTGTCAACATCCCTTCAAAATATTTGCAAACCGGGGCACCTGGGTGGCTCAGTCAGTTAAGTGTCCCGACTCTTGATTTTGGCTCAGGTCACGATCTCATAGCTGTGAGATCAAGCTCTCTGCGCTGGGTCTGGACCTGCTTAAGATTCTCTTTTTCTCTTTCTGCCTATCCCTGCTCTTGCATGTGTGTGCACTCGTATTCGTTCTCTCTCTCTCTCTGCAAACCAAATCACTCCTATTCAACATCCTTTGGAACAGTTGCTGCCATTTTCTGAGTCTGGAAGCTTGTGGATTTGCCCCTCCAACTGTGGTGCCCAGCCTAGCCCCTTAAGCTTTGTGTCACTCCTGGTTGGGGAAATAGGCACGTGGCTTCACAGATGACTGTCTCTGAGACCAGGGACAACCCTCCTACCTCTCACCTCTTGCCTGTAGTGCTTGGCTGCCAAGTGGAGCCTCATGACACCAGACACTGGGGTGGAGCCTGGACTGGAGGCTGTGGGGAGGGATTGACGAAAGTGACCACTTAGGGCCCTGAGCCTTAGCCCTGGGACGCCTGGCTGGAAGCAGGCAGTCCTGCTTCCTGTGACCTTGGGGGATCCGAACAGGACAGGGCCCAGGGGACCCAGTGCACTACCTCCTTCCCCACGCCTTTTCCCTTAATCGCTCCTCCTCTGTCGCCTCTTCCCCGCCCTCTACTGCCCTAAACTGCTTCCTGGGCCGAAACTGTTTGGCTTTTTCCTGCCCTAGTTAGGGTTGGAGAGGGGTGTCGCAGCCCTTGGCCTTGTGGAACCATGGAGCCCAGGGGGACGATACCTGGGGTGCCTGGCTGCGGGCCTCGAGTGGCCGCCGGGTCAGGGACGGCCGCGGAGCTCGTGTACCATCTAGCAGGGGCCCTGGGCACGGAGCTGAAGGAGCTGGCGCGCCGCTTCGGGCCGGAGGCGGCGGCCAGGCTAGTGCCGCTCGTGGTTCGGGCGCTGGAGCTCCTGGAAAAGGCTGCCGTGGGGCCCGACCCGGACTCAGTGAGTCACCGCCCCCTCCCCTCGCCACCCGCAGGGCTGATGGGAGCGTAGCCCTCACAGCCCGGACTCCCCAGCTGCAGGTGTCAGCGCAGCAGGCCGAACTAGAGCTGCGGCGGCTGCGCGAGGAGAACGAGAACCTCCGCAGACAGCTGCACTCTGGGCCACACGGTGAGTGCGGGCACGACCAGGGTGTGGGGTGGGCCGGCTCAGGGCCCCCACCCCAAGCCGCTGCTAAGTTCGCCCCTTCCTCAGAGGAGCGCGCTCTTCTGCGGCAGCTCAAGGAGGTGACCGACCGCCAGCGAGACGAGCTCCGGGCGCACAACCGCGACCTGCTGCAGCGCAGCCAGGAGACGGAGGCGGTGAGGGCGGGGCGGGACGAGGGGCGAGGGGCGGGGCTCTCCACCTCACCCACCGACACCCCGCCTACCTTCTCTTTTGCCCCGCCCCCAGCTGCAGGAGCAGCTGCAGCGCCTCCTGCTGGTGAATTCAGAGCTGCGGCACAAACTGGCCGCGGTGCAAACCCAGCTGCGTGCCGCGAGGGACCGCGAGGGCGAGCGGGAGCTACAGCGCCAGGGGGCAGTGGAGCTGGCTCAGGAGCCGGCGCAGGACCAGGCCAGGGGGGCTGGGTACGAGCAGAGGCAGGAGCCCGAGCGGGCAACCGCTGAGGCGGGAGCCCCAGGGACCCCTGAGGACCCGGTGAGTGCCCGTCGTAGTATTCGCAGGTCTGGTACTTGGTGGGCACTCGGGAAAGGTTTGCTGTGCGGCGTTAGCAGGTCCACCGGGAAATTGGAAGGTGGCATACAAGTGTGCGCCCCCCCCCCCCCCCCCCACCAGCCGGCCTCTGCTCTCACTCTCAGCCAGAGCACTGGTCTGTCATCTGTTGCAGCGCCCTTGCCTCCCAAGTCTCCCTGCCAGTCACTTGCTCTAGCATTCCTGGGATGGCCCCGGGGGGACAGGGGAACGCCAGCAGAGGCACCCCCATCGACCAAACCTGTCCTTCAGCCAGGGCGCCCCTCCAAGGTAGGACAGTGCAGCTTCAGTCGAGAGGAACTTGAGCAGATCCTTCAGGAGAGGAATGAACTCAAAGCCAACGTGTTCCTGCTGAAGGAGGAGTTGGCCTACTTCCAGAGGTGAGGGCGGTGGGCGGGGGCTGGGAAGCTGGGGATGGGGGCGCTCCACTCACACCCGTTCCCAGGTCTCAAGTCACCAGCTTCATTTTTTGGCTCACTGATATATCCACAGTGACATGTGCCAGGCACTGTGCGGGACACTGGGAGGACACAGCACCTGCCCTCCAGGAACTTCTTCCAAATGAGGGAGGAGGTGGTACAGAGTCACAGCAGTGGTCAAAGAAGTACTCCTAGGAAAGGGCAACAACTAAGCTAAGGTCTGAGGGGTGTTAGCAAGGCGGAGTGTTTTAAAAAGGGGGGGACAACATGCACAGGTACTTGGGATGAGACCTACTGTTGGCATTCCCACTGCTTACTCGGCCCCTCTCCCTCCTCTGCAGGGAGCTGCTCACGGACCACCGGGTCCCTGGGCTTCTGGTTGAAGCCATGAAGGTGGCTGTCAAGAAGCAGCGGAAGAAGATCAAGGCCAAGATGTTAGGGATTCCAGAGGAAGCAGAGAGCAGGTAAGTCCCTGCCTCCATTCCCACTGAGCCAGCTCTCTCTTCCTCTTTCTGTTGAGCCTGATGTCCCAGCCTGGTCATGCTCTAACCCAGCCTAGTCACCCCTTGAGCTTACCACCTTAGCCTCCTTACTCCCTGAGCCTGTCACCTAGTTACGGCTTAAACCTGCTAACCTGGCCTGGTTACCCCCTGAGCCTGCTGTCCTGTCTGTTCTGCTGAACCTACCACTCTGGCCTGGTCACCCCCTGGACCTGCCATCCAGCCTGTCCTGTTGGGCCTTCCATTCTGGCCTGGGCACACCCTAGCCTGCCACCCTTCCCTCTGGATTGCACTGCACCCACGTGCCGTGCTCACTGTACCTCCTGGCAAAGAAACCTGGTAATGCTGCTTCTCCACATGAGTTTTTCAGTTTCCTGTCTTGGCTGGATCTGTTTGTTCTCAGAAGTTTCAGACTGTAGTTCCAGCTATGTCAGGGCCGGCCGTCAGGCTGTAAAGTAAAAGCCTCAAGATGTCTTTCATCTCCCCAGCACCATCTTCTCTTCAGCCTTGAGGGGCCCAGGGTCACTCTGTCCTCCCTTGGCCATTCCTGGGTGCTGTGCAGAGGCCTGAACATAGCTGGACTCCTGGTGTCCCCTAGGGCCTTGATTAATGACCCCTACATCTCCTCTCTCCTCTTTGCCTCAGTGACGATGAAGACAGCTCATGGCTCCTACTCTCCAGTGATAAGGGAGCCCACCCTCCACCCACTGAGTCCCGAATACAGAGTTTGTATGTTGGGAGAAGAGGAAGGGGAAAGGTTGTGGGGGTGAAGGAGGGGCCCCACCTTTGTTCTTTCCCCCTTTCCTGCTCCACTGATATTCGTTTTGCTGCCCTGAGCTCTGAGCATGCCGCCCCACATTGGCCCCGGCCCCTTTGCCCCCTCAATACCTCACGCTGCCCTTTCTTCCTGTTGTATCCCTTTTCTCACCAGCCCCTGCCCTCAGCCCATATCGTTGACCTCTCTGGCATCCAAGCTCAGCATGCCTCTTGATTCTCCCCCCAGCTTTGGCCTGTCCTATCGGGGTGAAACAGCGGCCCCTGAAGCCCAGACCAGCAGCATGGCCCCCAGTAAGCTAGGGGGAGAAGAGGAGACCCCACAGCCACCCCACTTGGAGCCTGTGGGCAGCCCCACAGTCCTCAACTCCTGACCAGCCGTGCTCTGCACTCGATGAACATCTTTGTCTCAGCTGCCCCAGAGACCTGACTTTGGAATCTGGCTATGGGTAGATGTGTGGCCTCAAATGAGGACAGGGCTCCCTCCTTCTCAGCCCTCCCCAGGCACTTTCGCGATCCTGGCCTGAGCCAGGGGATGATGAAGAGCTCAGCCTACCTTCCTTCCCTGTATCTCTGTGCCAAGCCTCCGGGGTCACATGAAAGTGCTTCCTCCCTGAGTCTCCGTTTTCCCATTCGTAAAATTGGAGAGCGGGCTACCTACCTCCCAAGGGTCTATGCGAACGGCCTAAGCCAATGTAATAAAGCCGCTGCCCACGATACCCAGAAACTGCTTCATGTCTGTGTGTGACTGGTCTGCCCCCGCCTGACTCTGCCAGGACCAAAGGCAGGCTGAGGTTTCCTCACAGGGTCTTGTTGGTTGTTAGTGGGTGGGGAGGAGTCTCCCAGCTAGGGCCTCAGTTGGGTAACATGACCTAATGGAAAGATGTGGCTCCCACTCGCACCCCACACCCTCGCCTGTCCCCAGTACCCTGGGATTTGCAGCTTCATCTTCCTGCCCCCTCCACACTGAGACCAGCCCCTTAAAGCCCCGACTCAGCCTTTGCCCTCGGCTTTCCTTTTCATTTCTCTGGCGTCTGGTCTTCCCAGCACCCACCCGCCCGCCCTCTCAGGGAGGTGCCTCATGGCAGCCCGCCTCTCGGCACTGGTTTCCTCAGGAAAGGCCTTGGAAGGAAGCAGGGAGGGGGTTGGGAGCCGTGGGGGCCAGACTAACCCAAGCCCTCCCGCTGGACTGGCCGCCATGGGGCTGAGGCTGCTGGTCTCACTGTTGCTGCTCTGGACACAGGGGACCCAGGGGTCCAACCTGGACCCCAATGGGCGGCATGTCTGCATGGCCGGCAGGTGGGTCTTTGTAGGAATCTGATGGGGGGGGGGGGTGCCTGAACTGGTATTGCGGCATTGCAGGGAAGGAGGACATGAGGGAAGAGGTCATGGGCTGAAGGGAGGGGGGCTTGGGGACAGCCTAGAAGGTGGTGGGTAGTCAAGACAGAAGGTGGGAGGGCCAGGGAAGGAAAGGGAAGGAATTGGGGACACTGGGGCTGTGACTCTTGGCTAGGCCTGCCTGATGGGGCTGAGGCAGCCTCCCATATCTCAGCCAGAGACAGTGATCCACCTGCGGAGCCAGTCTGTCTGTCCCCCGGCTGACCCCTCTCTGCCCCACAGCCCCTCTGCTGAGCTCCAGTGCTGCCCAGGCTGGAGGCAGAAAGACCAAGAATGCACTATCCGTGAGTAGCCAGAACGGATCCCCACCTGAGAAGAAAGGAGAACATAGTCCAGTGACCCTTCCTTCCTGCCTCCCCTCCTGGGGCCTCCTATTTCCCCTTCTGAGCCCTAGAGCTAGGGTCCATCCTGACACCCCCACCCCCCGCCCTGAGGGAATGGCTCTTGACGGGGCAGGGCGCTGGGAGCCAGTGAGAGGGGCAGAGTGTCCCCTGGTTGGTGCCATGCCACCGTCCTTCCCACCTGGGTGGGGTGTTTTTCAGCCATCTGTGAGGGGCTGGATGCTTGCCGGGAAGATGAAGTGTGCGTGAAACCAGGCCTCTGTCGATGCAAACCTGGATTCTTTGGGGCCCAGTGCAACTCCCGTGAGTCCTGAGTTTCATCTGGAGGATGAAGTTGTCAGGCGGAACCAGGGAGGGGAGCGGGGAGGCAAAGCGGGTAGAAATGTGATCTTAAAACGGCAGAGCCAGAATCCCTCCAAGCCTCACTGAGGAAATTGAGGCCCAGAGTCAGGAAGTGACGCATTCCTGGAAGATGCCCTGAGTCATCTGGTTTTTACCCATATCCACAAAGCCCTACCCACACTTTCAGTTCTGGGCCCTTCACCATCCACAACTTCTCAGAAAAGATGGTGGTTACCCCTGTTGATCACAAAATGCACACGTTCTCTGTCTCCTTCGTGTGCACTTTATACACGTGTGGAGGAGGGTGGAAGGAGATAATCTGGCAGGGCTCTGCCCTGTCCTGGTGGGCAGGATGGCCAGAGAGCAGCCACCAGGAATCAGGGCTGAGAGGAGACACAAGGGGGGAAATGTGGCTTCTCTTGTGACCCTCATGGTCAGTATCCAGGCAGGGGTGGACACTGGGATGCCCTGTCATCTCTAGTGGGGTGGGGGTGGAGGGAAGGGGGATGGGCATGAGAGAGAGGAAGGGACGTGAATGAAATCCTACTGCTGTGTGACTCTGGGCAAACCTTTCCCACTCAGGAACTTTAAGTGTGTTCTGGAGTATGAAGTGGGAGTCTGGGCCACTCCAAAGGCTTTCTGTAGTTCGTGAGTCTGAGGCAGGAAGTGAGCTGTGCCCCAGGAGGTTAGGCTGCCAGATGTTCAAGGGTCTGTCTCCGGCTCTTGGAGGGTGGGCCTGGCGCCTCTCTTCCTTGTGGAAGGGCGCGCAGGGGCAGAAGATGCCTGGCCTGAGCCCGCGGCCCCTCATGTTTCCCCACCCGACTCCTGCAGGCTGCCCGAGTCAGTACTGGGGCCCAGATTGCCGTGAGACCTGCGCCTGCCACCCACACGGCGGTGTTTCCGAGCCGGCCCGCGGGCGTGCCACTGCCAGGCGGAACGCTGGGGCAGCCGTTGCGAGTTCCAGTGCGACTGCGGCCCCCACGGGCGTTGCGACGCCGCGACGGGCGCGTGCCGCTGCGAGCCCGGCTGGTGGTCACCCACTTGCCGCCGGCCGTGCCAGTGCAACCCGGCGGTGGCGCGCTGCGATCAAACCAACGGCTCCTGCCGCTGCGAGCCGGGCTGGTGGGGCCGCCGCTGCAGCTTCCGCTGCGCCTGCCACGGCTCGCCGTGCGCTGGGGGAGACCGGCCGCTGCGATCGCCGGCCGGGCCGGTGAGGTCCCGAGTGCCGGTATGAGTGCAGTGCGTGCGCGGCCGCTGCAACGCCGTCTCCGGACTAAATGCGCCTGCCCGCCCGGCTTCCGCGGCGCGCGCTGCAGGCTGCCCTGCCCGCCGGCAGCTTCTGGCCGCACTGCCGCGACAGGTGAGCGGGGGCCGCGGGGCTGCGGCTAGGCTGCGGGGCGGGCGTGCGGGGGGCGGGTGCTGACGGGGCTCACGCAGGAAGCCGGGCAGAGGGACGGGCCGCCGGCGGTGGGGGTGCGGACAGAGCGCGCGGGGAGGGGAGACGGGCAGCAGGCGAGAAGGAGCTAACCGGAGAAAATGGGCCCGGCAGGGAGCAGCGAGAGCACGAAACGTCGCGTGCCCTCGCTTAAAAGCATACAGGGCAGAAATGAGAAAAAAACCCCACAGCCTTTGTCCTTTTCCTTACTACATCCGGTACTGTTAAGCTTGAACTTGTAGAAATACTATAGCTCTGCAAAGCAGAAAAGGAATGAAAATAGTTTGTGGCGTAACGAAAATGGTACGAGAATGCCATGGAAACCTCGTGGCTTTCAAACTTTGGCCGGCCCCACCCACAATAAGAAATGGGTTTTAGGAGTGCCTGGCCGGCTCGTAGGTAGAGCATTTGGCTCTTGATCTGGGGGTTGTGAGTTCAAGCCCCATGTTGGGCGCTGGGGATGGCGCTTACTTAAAAACAAATAAAACGAGCAAAACAACAACAAAAAGAAATGCGTGATACATCCCCCCTATCTCATTCACACCCCTCTGTGGTAAAAGCTTAACAACATATACTTATCTTTGCTTCATATATATAATATATATTACATATGTGTGTATAGATACACATATGTGTGTACAGATACACACATATGTGTATATATACTGTAATGTTTTTATTTTTCTTTTTTTGATGCTGGTCTGCTAAGTTGATTTTATGAACAAATGAGTCTGATCCAAGCATATGACTCCAAATAATTATCTGGGGGGAACCTTGTCAAGAAACTGTTAAGAATCAATAAGAAATTAGAATAAGGTAAACCTTGTTGGAAAAGTTGCTAAGAGAGTAGATCCTAAGAGTTTGCATCACAAAGAAAAAAGCCATTGTTTTCCCTTTTTTGTACCTATATGAGATGAGGGATATTAACTAAACCTACTGTGGTAATCATTTCACACTATATGTAAGTCAAGTCATTATCCTGTACACTTTAAAGTTGCATACTATTGGGGCACCTGGGTGGCTCAGTCGGTTAAGCGTCCAGCTCAGGTCGTGATCTCGCGGTCCGTGAGTTCGAGCCCCGCGTCGGGCTCTGTGCTGACAGCTCAGAGCCTGGAGCCTATTTCAGGTTCTGTGTCTCCCTCTCTCTGACCCTCCCCCGTTCATGCTCTGTCTCTCTCTGTCTCAAAAATAAATAAACATTAAAAAAAAATTTTTTTTAAGTTGCATACTGTCAGTTATATCTCCAAAAAACTAGGGAAAGCATTTTTTAATATATTTTTTAAGTTATTTATTTTGAGAGAGAGAGAGAGAGAGAGGAATAGGGGCAGAGAGGGAGGGGAGAGAGACTCTGCACTGTCAGCCCAGACCCCGATGGGGGGCTCAAACTCACAAACTGTGAGATCATGACCTGAGCCGAGATCAAGAGTCCGAGACTTAACTCCCTGAGCCACCCAGGTGCCCCAGCATTTTTTTTCAAACATAAGATAAACTTGAAATTATAATGATGAAAACACACATGTTTTAATTTTTATGGATCTTTATGTTACGAGATAGAAGAGTCACATTCAGACCAGACCTCAGAGATGGCGTGGGTAGGAGGAAGAGAGGAGAAAGGATAGGAGGGAGAAGGTTGGCCAAGGTATCTTGGCTGCTCTGCCTGGGCTAATCCTGGGACCCTGGGAAGGATGGGTCCTGGAATGGGAAGTTGGAAGGAGAGGGCTGGAATCCTACGGAGATCATCTGTCCGGCCTTTTTGTTGTACAACATGGGGAAACTGAGGCTGAGACCTGCCTGAGTGTCCTGGATGCTCTCCAGTGTCCCTGGAGGCTGGGTGGGCATTCCATCCATGGGCTCCTCAGTGCTCCCATGACTCCTTCTCTTCGCAGCTGCGGCCACTGCAAGCAGAACGAGCCATGCTCTGCAGATACAGGCAGCTGTGAGTCCTGCGAGCCGGGCTGGAATGGAACCCAGTGCCACCAGCCCTGCCCACCCGGCACCTTTGGCGAGAGCTGCCGGAAGCAGTGCCCCCACTGCCGGCTTGGGGAGGCCTGTCAGGCAGACACTGGGCACTGTCAGCGCTGTGACCCTGGGTGGCTGGGGCCCAGGTGAGGGGGCCAGCCTGCTCAGGGTGGGGGGCCCCCCTCCTTCAGGGTCCTCATTCCAGCCCTGGGATAGCTGGCCCCTCCCCCACGGGGGGCCTGCCTCCTGGCCAAGACTGACGGAAGAGAGAGGGGTGCTGATGAGGCCCCGGGCAGGCTTCTCTTCCAGCTCCCTCACCGCTCAGGTATCCTGCTCTCTTCCCCCTCCAGGGATCTGTAGTCTTGTCACCTATGGGATTTGGCCCCAGGTTCAAGGCCCTGTTAACACCTGAGCTTCATTGCTGAGGCATAGACAGTTGGGGCCCTGAGTCCAGAAGCATGGGGGAAGACACATAGGACCTTTTTGTGGGGGGGGGGGGTCTGCCCTGCCGGACCTGTCCTGCCCTCCTCTTCCGAGTCTCGCCTCACCTCAGATGTGAAGACCCCTGCCCGCTCGGCACCTTTGGGGAAGGCTGCACCTCTACCTGCCCCACCTGTGTTCAGGGGGCCTGTGATGCCGTGACTGGGGAATGTGTCTGTGACGTTGGCTACTGGGGACCCAGGTGAGAACTGGGGCCCTGGCAGGGAGGCACGGGCCTCGGTCAGGCCTCAGTGCAATCTGTTTCCTAAACTTCCCTTCTCGGGGCTTCTCCGCCTGCCTGCCTCCCCGATACCTACCCAGCAAGCTCTTAATGAAGAAGTATTCCTCCTGTTGTGAGGTCTGCACCTTCTGAAGAAGGGTCAGAGCGATCTAATCTTAATCTCAAAGGCCTGGCTCCGGAACTAGGCTGGGGAAGTTATTTAGGGGTGGGACTCCCAACTCCATTGTTGTTCCCGTGAGGCCTTCATGTGGTGAAACATAATCAAGGTCAATGTCTCCAATGTCAGGTTTGTGCCTCTAGGACAGAATGTAGTATCAAATGGAAGAGACCTCATCTCATAGAAGAGAGGACCAAGGCCCAGAGAGTTTGGGGCAGGCCCGGACTCAGACCTCCAGACCCTGAGGACGTTTCTCTGGATGCCGTTGGCATCTTGCTTATTTCACATTAGTGTTGGATGGGCCAGGGACGAGCATCATGAGGGGTGGACCTTGCCCTATACTCTGGGGTATATGCTGGGGGGCTGGGGACCAAGGGGCAGCTTGTGGGGTGGCCTCTCTGGAAGATGGGCTTAGGGGCTAGGGGATTCTCCCAGACATGGCCAGGGGTACTTAGAATGTCTTCAGAGGTCGGAGGAGTCTGCTTGGGCATCCTCAAGGGAAGTCTGCATGATAGGGGTTGGGGAGCAGTGCCCAGAAATCCACCTTCCCCTGTCCCCTGCCCACCCCATCCCTTCTCACCAAGCCTTCAGCCTGTTTCTCTTGTCACCCCATAGCTGCAACACTTCATGCCCATCTGGCTTCCATGGCAACAACTGCTCTATTCCCTGTGAATGCCCAGGGGGATCCTGCCACCCTGTCTCTGGGGCCTGCCAGCTGGGTAAGGTGAAAAGGAGGGTGTGGGGTGCAGTGACCAGGGAAAATGGGCCCTTTATATGGCTTCAGGGACCTATCACTTGCCAGGGAGGCTGGGCTCACTTCAGAGACATTCCCTATACCTGAAATCTGTATGGATGCTCTGGAGACCCCTGAAGATATGATACGGCCCTTGCCTGCTGAGATGCCAGGCTCGCATCCAGGGCTGGCATCCGTGAGCAGGCAGGTCTGGACACCGGGATGTGTATCAGGCGTGACAGTTGGGAGCAAGAGCTTGTGGAACATGGGCCGTGAAGAGGGGACAGGGTAGCAGAGAGGCTGCCTTGGGGAGAGGGCCTCCAGGCTGAGCAGAGCCTGTCTCTCTCAGAAGAAGGGGAGGGACCCAGGTGGAAAATTCCGGGGGGGCGGGGGGGAGAGGCAACTCAGAGCTGGAGATGAGATGCGATGTGTGGAAGACAGGAAAGCCCTGAACTTTCGGCCATTCCCCGCTCTCCCCAGGGCCTCACGGTCAAGATGCCGCCCTCATCGCAGGCATCCTTGTGCCTCTGCTGCTGCTGCTCCTGGGCATCGCCTTCTGTGCCTGCTGCTGCTGGGCCGCCCGGTTGGACCCCAAGGACAGGTGAATGCCGGCTCACCCCTTCCCCACCCCCAGCTCAGGCCACAGGGTGGGAGCAAGGTGGCATCTGCTTTCCTTTCAGCGGCGGGGAAGGGCTGGTCTTGTCGCACACTTAGAGGGCATGAGGTAGTTGGCAGTGGCCATGGCCTGGAGACACCAGGTCGGCTGCCCGCCTTCCCTGCGAGTGTCCGAGTTGCATGAGTGTGCGCAGTGGGCGCTGGGCACCAGGATGGCAAATCTCAAACCTGCAGCAGGAGGCCGAGGGTTTAGGGACCAGAGGGGGAATTCGGGGAAGGCAGAAGCAGCAGGGCAGCTCTGGGCAGGGAGGGGAAGAGACGAGGCCTCAACACCCTCCACCACCCTCGAAGGAGAGCACAGAAGTCTGAGCAGTGCCTTAGCAGAGATGGTAGCTTCCTGAGAAAAGGAGATAATAGGAAGGATTTGGGCTTGCGGGGGCCTGCTGCAGGGGAATGTTGCTTGCACAGGGCTTTGTTCCTTTACAAAATCCCTTGGAGACTCACAGCAGCAAGGTTTAAAGCAGGGAATGTGGGGGCAGGAGGATTAGCGTTCTCAATTCACAGAGGAGGACATGGAGGCCCGAGGTGACCCAGCCTGTCACTAGCACGCACAAAGCCCCTGCTCTGTTGTTCTGGATTCTCTGTCTGGTGCTCTCTTATTACTTCGTGCACTGAGCCTTGAACACGTCCTCCTCTGTGCTATGGGGGATTCACAGAGGAGCAGACCCAATAGCCCCTCCCCTGGGGGTGGGGAAGAAGCCACTCACTGGAGGCCAGGAATGACAAAGGCCGTCAGAGGGTTGGTAACAATTAAGCAGCTTGGGGATGGGGTCAAGGACAGGCTTCCTGGAGGTGGTGCCACTTCCAGAAACATAGCTGAGCTGGGGACTCAGCCAGATGATAACACAAAGCTGCATTTGGGGGAACCTCAGCAGGTGCCTGGAGCTATACTGGGTCCTGAAAAAGAGTCTCAGAGCTGGGAGTTGTCCCCACTTTACAGATGAGGAAACTGAGGCCCGGAGAGTGGGAAGCCGGAACCAGAGTTGCTACCCAGTTCTATTTGAGCTATGCTGCCCTCTCTGACAGGCCCAAATCCCAGGCTCAATGGTTTGGGTTTTACTCTGTCGTCAAAGGGCACCGCCGAGGTAGACAGTCGCTGTGTCAGCCTGCCTCTCTCACATCGTTCTCTCCTGCCCCCACGCTGCCCCAACCGGTGGTCTTGTGCACTGACTGCCCTCCTTTCCCCTCAGGCCAGCGAGAGATGAAGCCGCCGTGTCCAGGGTGAAGATGCAGGTCTGGGGGGCGCTGACCAGCCTCGGCTCGGCGCTACCCTGTGGTTCCCTCAGCAGCCACAAGCTTCCCTGGGTGACAGGTGAGTGTGGGTGCTGCAGGTCAGGGGCTGGGACGGGACAAGGTCTTCCATGGAGCTCCGTGCCTGACCCAGAGCCCCCTGCAGTCTCACACCACGACCCGGAGATCCCCTTCAATCACAGCTTCATTGAGCCGCCCTCCGCCGGCTGGGCCTCGGACGACTCCTTCTCTTCTGATCCTGAGTCTGGCGAGGAGGACGAGGGCCCTGCCTACTGCGTGCCACCCCAAGAAGGTAACCAACCCCTCAACAGCCCGCGTGGCCCCGAGCAGCCCGGCCCACTACTTCTTTATTCCTTCAGCAAACGTGTATCAGGTGCCCATTCAAGTGCAGGTCACTGTTGCTGGCTGGGGGACATAGTAAAGAGCAACACGGATTCCCATCCTTGCCAACCTTCTAGTGTGGTGGGCAGGAATAAGACACGTGTAGGACCGGGTGATGCATGCTTTGATGGGGGACATACACGTAGGGGCTCGTAATCCAGCCATGTCAGGGGTGATTAGGGGCAGGGAAGATGTCTCCGTGTTTGTGATATTGGAACTGAGCCTGCTAGACTCAGGAGTCAGGAGTCAACAAAGCGCAAGTTGAGGAGGGATGGGAACGGTGTTTCAGGAGGACGGAACAGTGCACGTGAAGGTCCAAGGTGAGAGGGACATGACTGTGTGGCACTGAAAGAACGTTAGCTTGGTTAGAGTGTGGCATTAGTTCAAAGTGGGAAGGGGTGGGGAGAAAAGTGTGTAGATGGAGTAGGCTCTTCTCCTGTCTCTGTGCCCTCGCCCTCTTCCTTGCCCCACTGATGAGGATCCCCAGAAGATGCTAAACATCTGGACGGATTGGGGTGGCCAGCCCAGTTTTGGCCAAGCTCTTCTGTCTCCTCTGCCAGGGATGGCCACTGTGGCGCATGGAGAGTTTCCAGAGGCCAGCCTGGCTGGAGGTCCCATCCCTCCCCCTGAGGACGCCTCCACACCATTCCCTATCCCACGCACTTCCAGCCTAGCACGGGCCAAGCGGCCATCAGTCTCCTTTGCTGAAGGCACCAAGTTTGCACCACAGAGTCGCCAAAGCTCAGGGGAGCTCTCCAGTCCTCTTCGAAAGCCCAAGAGGCTCTCCCGTGGGGCCCCGCTGAGTCCGGAAAGCCAGGAGGCTGAGGAGTCCATGGGCCCGGAGAAAGCAGAAACGGATGAGACCCTTCCTGGTGCTGCCAGCCCCAGGGATCCAGCCATTGGCCGCCGCCGGCTCCCACTTGGTGGCCGGACAGTGGCTGAGCGTGTGGAAGCCATTGAAGGCAGTGTCTCAGAGGGCTCAGGCTCCGTGACCACGATCTACATGCTGGCAGGGACACCCCAGGTATCTGAGGGCCCCGTCCGGTCTGTTCTCCGTCGTTTTGGTAGCTTCCAGAAAGGCCAGGCAGAGCCCAAGGTCAAGAGTGCCATCCCCAAGCCGCCACGACGGGCCCTGAGTCGAAATAAGGACAGCCCCGGGCTGGTCTCCGGCACTGCCAGTCAGAGCCCCAACTTAGCCCCGAACCATGAGCTCACTAGGGCCTTAGAGTCTGCAGGAACTGGACCAGAGGAAGTGGCCAGGGGACTAGGCGATGGCACCAAGAACTCGGGGAGGGCCCAGGAGCTGGCCCCTGAGGGTGGCCCCCAGGAACAGGATCCCCAGAAGCTGTCTGATGAAGAGGGGCAGGAGGAGCCCCAGTATGAGAATGTTGCACCCATCTCTGGGCCACCAGCACCCTGAGAACCTTGAACTGGGGGAGAAGGAAGACTATGGATGGAGGGTAGGCATACGAACTGCCCCTGGCTCAGATTGTGTTTTGCTGGAAAAAGATCCCAGGGCCAGGAAAGACATACCAGAGCCTCTGCCCTTTCATGGGGAAACGTCAGAGTTGGAGGCCAGTTGGCTCTGGGCCCTGGCAGTGCTCTGGGAGTGGTCTCGAAGGCCTGGGCAGCGACCCCATTGGGTGTGGTCAGGAAGGGGAAAGAGATGACCGTGGGGACTTTTTCTCTGTTGTCCTGGACTCTGTTTGCCCCCAAAGGCTATTCTTTTCTTCATTTGGAAAACATTTTTCTGAAATGGGAAACAACTTAAATATTCAATGATAGAAGATTGGCTAAAGCAAGATTGCTTATGATACTTTCCTAAACAACCATGAAAAATCATGTTGTGCAAGAAGATTTAATATGGGAAATATGGGAGACTGTTTATGCTTTACTGTTAAGTGTAAAAAAGTAAGTTTTCTTCTTATAAATTTCATTTCCTTTTCCTTCACGATACATGTTTAGAATCCTTCCGTTTTGTGTGTGTTTTGTGATTGTTTTGCAAACTTTTTTTTTTGTATATGCATAAAAAAGATTCAGAGGAACAGCATCAAGTGGCATTTTTTTTCTGGGAGATGAGATAGTGGCTGATATTTATTTTCTTCCTTCGTAAACTTCTGTATAATTTGTAAATGTTCTATAGTGAACATTCTTTTTACTTTTCTCCCTAGATTTAATTTTTTTTTTACAAAAAAATATAAAAAAACAATGTTGTTAAAAATAAAAAAAGTACGGGGGCGCCTGGGTGGCTCAGTCGGTTGAGTGTCCGACTTCAGCCCGGGTCACGATCTCGCGGTCTGTGAGTTCGAGCCCTGCGTCGGGCTCTGGGCTGGTGGCTCAGAGCCTGGAGCCTGCTTCCGATTCTGTGTCTCCCTCTCTCTCTGCCCCTCCCCCGTTCATGCTCTGTCTCTCTGTCTCAAGAATAAATAAACGTTAAAAAAAAAATTTTTTTTTAAATAAAATAAAATTTAAAAAGTACTAACATTACAGATATGTATAGAGTAGAAAGGAGATTCCCCCTTTCCCCAGAGGAGTCTGAGGGACAGGGGAGGGGCCAGACTTACTTGTCATTGAATGCCTTTTGGTTCTGAATTCTTTTCTCACATACTTGAATTACCCAGTCAGGACAGAAACAGCAGCTCCACCTTCCATCCCAGAGCTCAGAGAATCTTGCAGACAGCTTAGATCCTTCCTTTCAGAGGTTTTCCTGTGCGCATATCGTTGTAGAGTTTGGTTTTTTACTTAAATATACTCTGGATATCTTCTGATGTCAGTAATTATAAAGCTACCTCTTTTCATTACAAAATGGCTGCATGGGATTCCATCATGTGGAACTAACACAGGTTATTTAAACCATCCCCTACCCATGGGAAGTTGGGTCATTTCTAATTGTTTTGATACAATAAATGATTCGGTGTACAACTTTGTCCGTATTTCTTTCTGCACTCATGGAAGTTTTTTCTGTAGAAGAGATTCCTACAAGCAGAATTGCTAGGTTATAGGGTAAGAACATTAAACAATTGAGTACTGGGGTGCCTGGATGGCTCAGTCACTTAAGCGTCCGACTTTGGCTCAGGTTGTGATTTCACGGCTTGTGAGTTCCGGCCCCTCGTCGGGCTCTGTGCTGACAACTCAGAGCCTGGAGCCTGCTTCCGATTCGGTGTCTGCTTCTCTCTCTGCCCTTCCCCGCCTTGTTCTCTCTCTCTCTCTCTCTCTCTCTCTCTCTCTCTCT